TTTTATATCGTTCCACTGCGCTTCAGCATTTCCGCTTTCACCTTCAATTGCACCGAGTTTCTCTTCTAGAGTCTCTTGCACGCTTTGTCTTTGAGCATATAACTTCTCCAAATCCCATCTGGGTCTGCGCTTTCGAAATCCTATAATTTTCTTCAACCTGGTTCGGAACTTGGCAACCAGCAAGTTGTGGTCAGAGTCAATGTCTGCCCCAGGAAGCGTCTTCACATCCTTCACACTGTTTCACACTGTTTCTGCTGTATACATTTAACATTAATTTATGGTGACCAAAATGAGAAATTTGGTACATCTCTGCCTCAGTCACATATCTTGGAAGGAGGAAAATGCCCTTAAAATAAACAGAAATACACACTTGGTGATCTTTGGCAACTTAAGCTACATTGTATATGACATTACTTTTGTACCAGTCCTTATACCTTCTATGCTACTGAAGTCAGTGTCCAGATCATTCTTATCCAGTGTGCACATGATGTAACAGTTGTAATGTAGAGGCTAACCTGAAGAACCCCCATCATAATAAGTACTTCCTTTCTGTTTCAGAATTGGTGTGTAATAGAGCCACAAGTGTTTGTGCTGCCAACAGCTGAGGGTATGAATTTACACGGATGTCACTGTTAAATTTGTAGTTATATAAAAATTGTATTAATAAAACTGCATTTACTGTGCTACACTGTTATGCTTAATTGTGCATATAGTCGGTCATTCTTTTAATGTTTGTCTACCTCCTAGCCTTCTGCTTCTGGTCCTGCATGAAAGCTACAGATACTTGCTTTTATCCATTTTTCAAATGGAAGTAGATTTTACACCAGCTGTTCTTTGTCGTCAACCAGATCCAAATAATTAAAAAGTTCACAGGATTAATTAAATGCACAGTGCGGTTGCATCTGATGCAAATTTGAAATCATGTGATATAAAAAAAATATTAGTAATAATAATGTGAACCAAGTTTGAAATAATGCAGAACATCCTTTGAGAAAACTTATTTTGAATTCTGCAAGGTCTTCAGGAACACATTCCTCACATAAAATACAACTGCACTGTACTTGAACACCAGTAATGAACAAGGTTCTAGCAGCAACCTGTCTTGAGTGACACCAAGCATAAGATTAACTCAACACTTTTGAGACCATGTGAAGATGTCTGAAGTGAACACTGAGGAATCAAAGGGGTTGGCAAAGTGGTAATGGTCTTGATTCATATTTGGGAGGTGCTTGGTGAATCTCAGCTAAGATGCTGGCTGTCCTGACAGTTTTCTCTGTAATTTTTCTTGATTCCACCAAAGCAAATGCCAGACACCTCTGTTGAAGCCATAACAACTTTTTCAGTCCCGTCGACGTCCATCCTGGCCTTCATTTCTTCTAGCCCGGTTT